ATATATATATATTTTTTTTTTTTTTCCATTGCGTCACGCGCTTGGTTCAGCCTTCGGCCGGACCGCCTGCGAAGAGGAAGCGTGCAGATTAAAATCCAAGGAGGGACCTTGCACCTGGCTTTCGCAGCTTTTCCATGGTTCGACATCCTTGCGAGCGGTTCGTATCTGCCTTTACCTACTCGCGAAGTTATGCAAATCCCTCAGAGAGGCGGTGGCACCGGCAGAGCCCTGGCCAAAGCAAAGACCGCACAGCCCCAAAGAACCGAAACCGCACGCCTCCAGCCAAGGAAGATCGGCGACAGGAATCTCACCAGCTACGTGGCTTCGAAGGACTTCGGTGGCACCACAGCTGCAAGTCATATCAATGCCGGTACAGAAATGTCTGGGATTCATCATCTGGCCCAACTTTTGCAAGGGGAATCTGAGGTGACCCTTTCTGGAGATTTCTTCATTTTCAGCCCCAGTATTCGTTTCTCTTCTTCGCCAACAAGACGTTTGGAGTGGACCTCCTTCTATGTCAGGACAACTGGACCAGAAGCATGGAGAGGTTGGGCGAGTACTTGAAGCCCGCACAGCTCCCTGCTGACATGAAGCGGAAGCGCACTCGCAATACGACACACGCAATGTGCTCTGACCTGCCCCAGAAGACACGTCAGAGAATCGAGAAAGCCTATGCAATGGACATCTGCCTGTTTTATCCAACTGATGCTGCAACGGCGTGCAAAGGGTTGTCTGCGAAGGAGCTTACTGCGCGCTTTCAACTGTGCAAGTCTCGCGTGTTGGGCAAAAGGCGTTGAGCCGCGCAGGTGACTTGCTCCATGCCTCTCGGTTGCGTATGTCTCTGTGGAAAACGGATGCAGAAGGGTGAACACTCACGTCCTGATACTTGCAGGGCTTACCGGCTTACCGCGAAGCGCACGCGATGACCGGTCCTTTCAACGACCGTTTCGATCGGCTTGGCAGGAATAAAGGCTGATCGAGATTGCGAATTTGGAGTATATCCGGCCGCCCCTCAACTGAAACTGTCTGATTCCGCCGAAGAGCCCTGAATCTTCAGCTGGTCTTCCCAACTTGCAAAGAGTCGGGGCCACACAACGCCAGTGACGTGGAGTGCTCGCACTCGTTTGCGCAAAAGGCAAGAGGCCATAAGATCCTGGTACTTTGTCAGACCTTGAACACGGCTGGAAGCTCCTTTGGGCACGCAAATGCTGCCAGAACGAGGCGAAAGCAGTCCCTTACTGAACAGCTTTCGACGCTTGGCTGACTGAAAAGGGATCGCATTCTTCATGCTTGAGAACAAGTCGATTCGTTGCTGGTAGCCGGATAATGACGCGATGGAGCGGAAGCATTGCTTCGTCATACTGAAGGTTGGGTGAGGTGTTTTCATGTTGTTTCTGTCTCAACTTGGGCTCTTCTCGGTGGTTTGTCACCGATATTTGTATCTTCTTGCTGCTTCTTGCTGGTTAGTTTACTTGAACCGATGTCATGCTGCTGCTGTTCGTGCGCGGACAGTGCACGGAATTTGTAATTAGTACTTCCTGGAGCGTCCGAACACAATCTGTTTGCAGTACTGCAGACTCCCTCGTCTCCGACCGAACTTCAGGGGACATGTCTTTCCACGGGCTTCTATGACTTCTGATTTGTCAGAGCTTGGTGTCTCAGATCACAGTCGCAAATTTCCGGCATCTTGTCACGCAAAGCCCCCACCCGCGAGAGCATTGCAGCTGTAAGGCTATCAAGACCATGACATGGCCTGAAGCTGT